AAGAAACAAAATAAAACAAAATATATAAAAAAAAAAGCAAGGCAATAAAAGAGAAACAAAGAAGAAGAAGGAAAAAAAAAAAAAAAAGAAGAAGCGTTACAACAAACATGACATACGTACAAATAAATACGTCTCAAAAACACATTTTTTTTTTTTTGTTATTTTTGTTATTAAAACAAAAAAAAATGTCTGACGTGTCGTCTTACATAACTCCACTTATTTGTGTTTAACGGAATACATACCATACATACGTGTACATACCATACATACGTGTACATACCATACATACGTGTACATACCATACATACGTGTACATACCATACATACGTGTACATACCATACATACGTGTACATACCATACATACGTGTACATACCATACATACGTGTACATACCATACATACGTGTACATACCATACATACGTGTACATACCATACATACGTGTACATACCATACATACGTGTACATACCATACATACGTGTACATACCATACATACGTGTACATACCATACATACGTGTACATACCATACATACGTGTACATACCATACATACGTGTACATACCATACATACGTGTACATACCATACATACGTGTACATACCATACATACGTGTACATACCATACATACGTGTACATACCATACATACGTGTACATACCATACATACGTGTACATACCATACATACGTGTACATACCATACATACGTGTACATACCATACATACGTGTACATACCATACATACGTGTACATACCATACATACGTGTACATACCATACATACGTGTACATACCATACATACGTGTTTTCCTCTTTTCTTTCCTCTTCTCTTCTTTTTTTTTTTTCCCCACCGCTCACACCTCCACGTCCTTCATGTATACATATAATACATATATATACATATATATGTATTATAAACCCTTCCTTGTTGTATACAAATAATAATAATAATAAAATCACCTTTACCGTGTCCCCTTCTTCTTCTTCTTTCTTTCTTCTTGTTTGTTTGGAAGGTTTTTTATTGGATGCAAGTATACATGTATATTATTATTATTATTATTATTATTATTATTATTATTATTATTATTATTATATTTACACGCAGATGTCTTCTCCCACAAACCCCCACTTCTTCTCCTCCTTTTTTTTTCTTTTCTTTTTTCTTTTTTAAATGTTTTTCCTTCGCAAAAACAAAAGAAGCACACAAAAAAGAAAACGAAAAAACGAAACAAAAGAAAAAAAATCCGACGGCCCTTCAAATACACTCAAACGTACACTTTTCCCCCTTAAAAAAAAAAAAAAAAAAAAAAAAAAAAAAAAAAAAAGAGGTTGAGATTTTAATTTCCCCCAGCCACCAACAGCCACCACTTCCCCCCTTTCTTTCTTTCTTCCTTTCCACCCCACTACTCCGCAGGACCGTCACAGTCATTCACAACAGCCGCATCCTTCCATCTTCTCTCGTTGCGTCCCACCCTTTCCTCCTGAAAAGGTGGGGGAAAAAAAAATATAGATGGATGATGTTCGCTTCGCTCTTCCCCCAGTCTTTATACCGTATGAATCCCTCTTTTTTCTTTTTTTTCTTCTTTTTTTCCTTTGTTGTTGTTATTTCTTCTTCGGTTATGGGAGGCATCCAAAGGGTGCTCTTAGCGGTAATCTCTGTAGTGATCCGGCTTGGGCCGTTTCCTCCTATTACGCCGTTCGGCGACCTCTTCATTAGCGGCATCTGTGCATGGCTGCGGCTGCGAGGGGAAAACCAATGGTCCACTGCCTCGCACGGCGCTGCCACCACCACCACCGCTGTGCCTTTCCATCGTGACACTATCACTCGTGGCAGGCCGTCTGCCACTGCTATTGTTGTTGTTGTTGTTATTTGTACCGGATGGACGCCAGACGGTGGAGGTGATGGATGCAAACTCCATGTCATTGTTATTATTATAATTATTATTGTGTATACTGTTTTGCCTGCTGCTGCTACTACAATAAGTTGCTGTCGTTGCGTCCATCATGGCAATGTCCCCGGCATGGCAAGAATCCATCTGCTGGGAGGATGCATAATGATAACGGTGTGGTTTATTGAAAAACTTCTTGGTGGAACTCCCCCTACTCTTGTAATGGTACGGCTTCGCATGAATACTAATACCCGAGTGATGCAACCCGGTTGTTGTTGTTGTTCTCGTCGTCGGCGTCGTTGGCGAAAGGGACACCGCACGCTCCAGTATACCAAAGCCTGCACCAGCATTAGTACTACGACCACTGCCGATATTCCCCACATTACTGTTGGTATTATTATTAATATTCGCATCATAGACACCGCATCCGTACTGCATTTGTTGCCGTGGTGGCGGTTGATAAATAGGGTGGTAGGAATGATAATAATGCGTTGGTATACTTGTGGTGGATCCAGCGGCATTTTGTGCGATTACTGTCACGAGGGCTGTGGTGTGGGCGTTGCTGACGGTCCCACCAGATGTTTGACGATAAACAGCCGGCAGGATGATTTGATCCAACGACACGCCCGGCATGCCTGTGCCGGGGTACACAAGTGGGTTTTGTGGAAAGAGGGAACCACTCGGGCTCAGGCACTGGATTTTTGCCTGTTCACTGGAAAAGTCCTCGGCTGCACATCGCCGTATACGCTCCCGCCGCTGTGAGGAAGAGACATCAAAGCGCTCCTTCCAAGGTCGCAGTTCTTCCACCCAAAATTGTCGTTGAAACCTCCTTCGTGTCACCTCGTCTATCTCCTCCATGTTGGATGCGAAAACTGTCACAAGCTGCAATAACAAATTCTCTAATGTCTCGTATTCGGCCTCATCCAACCACATGTCCCACTCCAGACACCCACAAAAACGAAGTTCCAATTTATTGATCTCCGCGTTACTGATACCACCAATGCGGCTGTAGTACTCATTGCTGTAGTATTGATCATCGCGAAGCTTCGCCCCAAGTAACAGACTGGTAATCGTAAGGCGATGAACATTATAGACACTAACGGGATGATTGATAAAGTGCGAATACTTTAACAATAACATAAGACTTGCAATGAGAGTTTCCCCACTAACACCACTGTGACGCACAACACGATCCAAATAAGCCTCTATAGGCATCTGGGGAAGACGATGGGAGTGAAAGTCTGAGGTGAGTACCGGTTCTGCTTTATTGTCTTCAGAGAGGTTTTCCAAAAACAACGTCACAGCCACACGCGCTGTCACCAAATCAATTTGACTTTGAAGAGGTTTACGGGCGGATACCACCACAGGAGAAAAAGCACACATCTCGCATGCCTCCGCCTCCTCAGTAGCACCAGTTACATCAACGTCCTTGCCGTCCTCATTGGACACCTCGGACTTACATGCATCCTCGCGGGAATTGCATGAGAGCGGTGGGGCGTCTTGCGAAAAGTTACACCCCTGTTGTTGCCCCTGTAATGCGTCCCCCTCCTGATGCTGCTGTTGCTGTTGCTGTTCTTCTTCTTCTTGATGATGATGATGATTTTGTTGTTGTCCCTCATGCGGTTGGGCAAACACTTCATCAATAACTGTTCTTGGTGTCGTGTCTGTGCATGTCTCAGGCGTCGGTTCATCATTCGACGAGGAGGTTCGTTTCATACCTTCATCATCGGCCTCCCCGTTGTTGTCTTCCGTACCCATTGCACCCGTATCCACCATGCCACCCTCCACGTTCTCTACAGCCACCGTAGTTGCCGTCCCTACGCCTGCAAAGTTCGTCGCATGGTGCCCCCCGGTGCTGTACCCCTGGCCGCCACCATCACCGTCTCGGGGCCGTGAGGGGGCGAAGTGGGACGCCGCAGCCACACCAGCAGCCAAGGCGGAAGATGTATACATGACCTTGTTATTATTATTATTATTATTATTATTATTATTATTATTATTATTGCTATTATTACAGCTACCGTTTGGGTTGGTGTTGCCACTTCCAGCATGATATGAGTCGCCTCTTGAGAAGCAGAACGATGCTGCGGCCGTGTGACCTGAAAACAGGCAGGAAGTCATCCCTACAGACGTCGTCGTCGCCGTCGTTGTGCTACTGCTGCTGCTGCTGCTGCTGGTGGTGGTGGTGGTGAGCGGCCTTTGCGCTCTGGAAAAGAGAATGGAAGATCTTTCGCAAGATATCATAAAAATATTTTTATTTTTACAAAAATAAAAATAAAACTAAACTTTTTTGTTCTTCTCTCTCTCTCTCTCTCTCTCTCTCTCCTCTTTTCCACCACCCTCCCTTCCCACTTACCCCCTACTTTCCTTCTCCTACTCGTTTCGTGTGTTTTTTGTTCGTGTTTCACTTTTTTCTCTCTCTCTCTCTCAGTCCTCCTTCTTTCTTCTCCTTTTTTTTTCTTTAAAACTTTTTTTTTCCTTTAAAATTTTTTTAAAGTTATTATTTCTCTACACACACACACACACACAGACAGACACGTGTATATTTATATATTTGTGTGCGTGTGTGTGTGCACCTTTTTTTTTTTTTTTTCCCTCTTTTTTCTTGTTATATATATATATATTCTTCTTCTTCTTCCTTATTAATGTTTGCTTTTATTATTTTATTTATTATTATTATTTTTTTTTTTCGTGTGTGTTTGTTTGTTTGTTTGTTTATACTTCGCTTCGTTTATTTGTTTTGTACGTCCCCTCTCCTCTACTGTTATGTGTTCGTGCATAAAAATGTGTTTGAGTGTACATGAGAGGAAAGAGTTCAGAAAATAAATAAATAAATAAATAAATAAATAAATGAGAAATTAAAGTGAAGGGAAAATTGAAGTAAGCAGAGAGACATAAATGAAGGGAGGAAAAGAAAGAAAAAAAAAAAAAGGGAAGTGTCTTACCGCATTGGCAGGATTGCCGGCCCCTGACGATGTCTACTGGACCACACTCGGCCGAAGTTGCACAATACACACACAACAACACATGCAGTCATGTACACATCGACCTCCCCCCCGCCCTCGCCCCTTCTTCTCAGTTTCCTTCTCTCATCAAAGGCATGCGGCTCTCATGGCACATAAATAACATAAAACGACATCAAAGAGGAAAATAGGAAACAGAGAGACTCACACACAGACAGACTCACACTATGTACACTCATAGATACAGATTCATACCTACATACGTGCCATAGAATATAGGGATATAACGGGGTTTGAAGGGCTTCGACAAATACAGGGAAGAGATGGCCAAACACACGCAGACACACGTATACAAACACACACACAAAAAAAAAAAAAAAAAACAGAGGTGGCGATATACATACATACATAAAGATATATATATATATATATATAAATGCATATATAAGCAAGAAAAGAAAAGAAGAAAAAAAGAAAAATTCAACACGCATACATAAACACACACACACACAAAAAAAAAAAAAAAAAGCAAGGAGAAGTCATAAGTGTCTATTTTGACTCAGCACATGCAACGTGTGCCGTTTATGACCTTCTTATCATTCAACATTCCCTGTCATCAGGACGGACATACACCGGCCGCGGCCTCGATAGCCGTTGGGCGGAGGATTTTTGTGCTTCCACTGCAGCAGTACCAAACGGCACTTCTCTTATAAGCACATACGGGCGACCATACTCATCTAATCGCACCTCCTCTACAAGAACAACCGAATCATAATTCGTTCCACCAGTGCCATCGCCTTCAGCAGTAGGGCGGCCACCATCACCCGCAGCGGCCTCATGTCTATCCTCACGCTGCGCACGCTTGATTATCCGGCGGCGTGCCGTGGGGGACTGCAGCAGAAAATTCTGCCGCTCCGGTCCCATTGCCCATGCCGATGGTCGGTCCGGCTCCTTTATCACAAAGGAAGAGTAGAACTTTAGAGGTGGAAACGGCGGCACGTCAACAATGCAGCGCTTCGGAGAAGAACCGGAATTCCCCGCAGTGCCTTCTGGGGTGCGCTTCAACGGGGTGGATCGTGTGTGGCTGTGACAGGATGGAGACACCGCCCCTCTTCCCGTTGCACCATTTCGTTTCTTGTGGGCGCTGCTATTGTTGCTTGACAAACTATAGTTCACCCCACATCGAACACGGTGTTTACTCGCACCAAATACATCCTCTTTTTTCAGTGGGGAGTCCAAACATGGTTTAAAGTCTTTCCGAAGGTCAACAACAGGAATTGGGATTCGACCAACAACGTCGCGTGTCACCGGACTCCCTCCCGGGGCTCGCAAATGGTTTCCAGCAATGTCACCTTCGCTGCAGCAGCGTCGGAGGTTTCGCGCCGTGGGAGTTCCCATCACGGAACGAGGCTGAGACCGTCGCGGATGAGGAGTTGCCATATCAACAGGTGTCCTCGCCGACGGATTTTCTCGTCGCCGTCGTGCCGATACCGGTAAGGATGAAGGTGATGGTGGTACAGAATCGTGGCGCCATGCATTTTCCTTTCCATTCTGCTGCTGAGATGGCCCCTGTGTAATCATTCCATCGTTTCCATACTCAAAAATGTGCGTCATGGGTTTTGACCTGTCCGCATGTGGCCTGTGACTTGGATTGACTGGATTCACTTTGTGTCCACGTAAGGCAGACTGTGCCCTCTCACCTGACGAATTTTCGCCACAACTAACACGTCTACCGCTATTATGATTCTCATTATTACAACCATTATGATTGTTGTTATTATTACTACCACTGCCGCAAGGTGTTTTGTGGGGTGGACCTTCAAACTTTTGAAGGTCGTCATGCCTGCGCGATGGAATAAATGACGTCACTTCATATGGATGATTGAGTGAATAGTCACAGAGTTCCTCTTGTTGATAACATCGTCGTCTTTGAGTCGATGCTCGACCTGTACGTTGCGATGAAGACGGCCTTAACATCTGCAAAGATCGGTACGGTCTGTATCGTCCACCGGAGGCATAAGGTCCAGTGAAGCCGGCTTCGCTATCAGACTCATCAGAAGCCACCGCCCGGTTATAACCGTCCCTGAATTCTATGTAACCGAGAGGACGGCGCATTGAAGAAGGAAGGGGCAATGGATCGGGATGAAACGAAGAACTGCGCCACGGCTGACGAGGGCTCTTTGCATGCGTCGTCGACGTTCCACCTCTTCGGCTGTGCGTTCCCGAGTAATCACCCGGCGATACGCTATCATGCCTCCGCCACCGCAAGAAGCGATCACGCTGTAATTCCTCTTGTTCTCGTTTCAGTTCTTGATACAGCTGATATACATCGCGAATATGAAAAATAGGCGAGTGTGATAGGTGGGGAGATGGAGAAATCAGCCTTCTCCTCTCTCTGCCGTAATCCTTCTCACTCCCCCTCTTGACAATTCGGCCCCGGTGCGGAGTTTCTCGTTCTTTTCGGTCATCAACATCATCATGATCACCATCATCCTTGTCATTCCTAGAAGATTTTCTGGTTGCATGTAGAGACGTTGTTTCCTTAAGAATTTCCCGCTCCGTGGCTTTTGCATGATGGTCTGAACTAAAAGAAAGAGGCCTGATACATGACTCGGAGGAGTCACGACGCAGCTGGGGTTGCTGACGTTGTCGCTTCGTGGATTTATTGACCTCATGGGCTTCTTGTATCGCCCGTGACTGCAACCCAATTGGTGGCGGTGGTAGTGATGGTGGTGTCGATGATGAAGGTGAAAGGCGGCTGGATTCTACTGCGCCTAAGGGAGTTTCCCTGACGTCTACGATCGCGTTTTCGGCGGTCAAGGACGGCAAATGTGCCAATTTGGCGGAAAGCCGCAACGTTTCCTTTTGTGGATTCGTGTCGTGCCGCTCCTCTGCTGAGGAAATATTAACAGGTGCACTTCCCACAGTCGTGTTTTCTTCTTGCAGCTCCAGCTGACGCACCGGAGTCAGACTCCCGTCTCTTTTCAACGTGTCCGGGGAACTCGTTTTGGTCGTCACCGACAAGGTATCTGACGACACCGGGGTATGATCTGAAACGGCAAAAAGCCGCGTATCAGAAGCTTGCACTCCCGTGTTTCCACCCTTCTTTTGCTGGGTCAACAATTGGCTGGGCATGGATAACGTGGCCAAAGAAGACGGGGAGACATGCACCGACCGTCCCGCTTGGGAACCCTCCTTTTCAGAACCAAACACGGCGGTTTGCGTTGTCGATCCCAGTTCCTTTGCCGGTTCGCTGGACCGCGACGAACCAGATGAATCCTCGTCGCTGTCCACGATGGTAATGGAAGGAAACCTGAGCACACGCTGTTTCTGCTTTGACTGACGATGGCCTTCCTCAGCTTCGTTCGCGACATTTGCAGCAGATGACGGGGCTATCCCGGCTTCCCCAGCCTCATCTCGGAGTTGCACTGTGGGGGACGTCACGAGGGGAGAGGCTTTATCATCTGCCGGCGTCGGTGGCGGCATTGTCGCTTTCGGGGTGGCTATTCTGGTTGTTGTTTCCACTGTAGCCAATGAAGGTGATACCGGGTCAATTTTATCACCCGTCGACGTAATCACATGCCCATCACCACCTAAATTCTTCGATGGCAATTGCTGTCGTCGCTGTTGCTGCTGTTGCTGCTGCAAAGGCATTGTACCTGATGAAGTTTGACTCACTGTGCCTCCATTTGTATTCTGTTCCAAGCTTTGAAACGCGCCGGTAGCTGCATTCATACTCGCTCCTACCGCTGCCGTTCCAGCACCCGGCCTCTGTTCAATTGGGCGAACCCCGCCCTTTGCATCTCGTACTGCCTGTGGTGCAGACGCAAGCTTTGGCCGCCCCGCATCCTCGCCACCCCCCTTGAACAACGCATTCTTCATCGTTCCCCATATTCCACTAATCGATGAGCGTTTCTTCTCCTTCCCACCCGAGGGCGGTGGCTGTGCGTTTGTTGCCAATCCCGCAATTGACTGTTGAGGTTGCGCCGGAGCAGGGGATGGTCGCGCCCGCCAAACGTTACCCATTGGCTGCTGCACATTTGAATCCAAAGTCCCAATGCTGGAGGAGCTTCTTGTAACTCCAAGCAATCCCCTCGCTCGTTGCGGTTGACCAGAAGCGTTGGGAGGCGTATTCGCTAATAAAACAACCTGCTTCTTTGCCTGTTGCACCAAAGGAGCATGTGGAGCGACAGAGGCACTAAAGGAAGGGGAGTGGCTTTGGCTAGATCTGGCTGCTCCCTGCTGTGACGTTGGTGGGGGACCCATTGGCATCTTTGCCAT